TAATATCTACATGTATTTTCTGATAGAGAAGAAATTCTTTCAAAGGTTTTCATATTAACGACTCATAAAAGATTGAACAAGCGAGGACTCACATGTTCTAGTTGCTTTAATTTACTTCTACCTATACATTTCAGACCAAAACTCTCCACTTCTATCAAAGTTCTAAGATTTAATGTATTATTTTCAAATAATCCACAACTAATATTTATAATACGTTTTCATACTACTTTGGTTCTGAAGCCAATGTTTATTTGTTGAATGAAGTCAGTTCTTGTTAAGTGTTTATAAAAATTTTCAAAAGGTTTTGTTTTAAAGCATCAAATCTAATGAAAAATAAACATGCTTTTAGGCCTGAGCTGCAGTAGTGCATTAAAGAAGTGACTACTTAGGCCACCGTGGCCACTACCTGGCACTGAGTGGGTGCTGGGGCCCTGGAGTCTGGGGACCGAGAGCCTGGCTGATTTGGGGGAGCACAAGCCAACTCAGAGCCTTCAAACTTCATACAGTCTCACCTACCATTTTCTTTCTTTTAAAGGTATATGGCTAAGACCTGGTCACCATTTGCACCTTACCCAGGATTCTAGTTTTCTCATGGTGAATTCTCAATGGATCTGACTCTTGGTTGCTGCCAACTCCTGGGATACTACTATCAGAGGGGTTTGGAAGGCAGAATTTTCATCTTTTAAAGGGGAGGAGTTTTTTTGCTGTTGAAACTGATAGCTGTTGTCTTTGCCATGCTTCTCTTTTGTGAATTTTTAATCTACTACTTAGTCACTAGTAATTGGCCTAAGGTGAAAAATCCAGCCTGTGAGGGTGAACGAGAAACTCTTGAACCTGTGCTGAAAGCCATATTTTTGCCTGACAGCCACTTGCCTGGGGAAGTAAGAGGTCACTGGCTAGATGGATTGCAAAGAATGGCAAATGGAGAGAGCTTTCTAGATGGCCCTGTGGTTGTCTGCCAGAGTTGTCTTCATTCTGGGGGACGTCCTTGGTGAAGGGAAGTTGAGTTTCTCGGGGCCCGGGCAGATGATGTGGAGTGGTTCCAGAAAATGTTCAGACACCTGCGTCACATGCGGCTGCAGGTAGCTGCTGGCAACCATAACACTGGCCTCCACTATCAGATGAACACATTCAAAATAAAATGATTTGAGAAAGTTTTCTGCCCCGAAAGGCTGTTTTCATAGAAAGGAATTCCGTGATAGTCAACAGCATTGCACTGCAATGGGATGACTGCAGCATTTGCTCTGAAGAAGCTAGACTCATCAAAATTTCTCACAAATTGAATTGCTCCCAAGACGAACATCGCTCCAGACACTGTTGGGGTGGGCAGCCACTGCCAGCATCAGCCCCAGCTCTTCTGCAGCATTTTCTGCTTTCCTGGAGAAGTGACATTAACTGTTCTGGGGACAGTGGAGGCACCTCCAGAAGAAATGGGGCATCCCCTTTAAGGAGCGATATGATGTGCTTTCCCTCAAGGCCTCATAAAAGCTGCTGTGGTGGCTCCAACCGTGCCTGGTCCTGAGTGGCCACACACTGTGCCTGCGAGGTGCTCCATGGGGCAGGGATCCCCAAGCTCAGCGTGCCGTCTTTCAGTTGGGGGAACAGAAACAACTCCAGTTCCATCATGGGCAGCATGACACCCACAGAGTACACCCTAGCCAAGTGCTACCTTTCCTTCGAGGACACGGTTCTGATCACATACTGCAAAGCATCTGGGTTCCTTGTGGTCCTCATACTGGTTCAATTCAGGCTTCTACCCTCACCTTTTCTTTTTGGTTGGCAGCTACTCAAAGAATTTAAGACTGTGAAGAGAAATAGACTTTTTGCATTTAGTAATAAATATCAAAGCCAAAGAAACTGAACTTCAGGCAATGATCATGTGAGATGAGACCAAAGTAGGCTGTCTCTATACACATGGTAGAAACTCTAAATCTTTGATGCAAAATTACTACAGAATAGCTGATTGTATTCAGACTATAAAAATGGAATGTCTGTTTTCTCATTTTATCAAATCTATGTATATATACATCATCAAAAATTGTATCTGTACAATATGTAAATGCTATTAATGTCATCACTTGCATGCACTAGACAGTCCTTCCTTCTCCAGATGGACAAAGCAGTCCTGGAGCACATTTGGGATTAGGTGTACACAGACCAAACATCGGGTTTGCTTTTGTCCTACTCTGAAGTCATTCTCAAACTCCTATATATTATAAAATTGTACACTGAAATGTACAGATGCTACAAGAAGAAATAGATTGTTTACACAGACTTTTGTTCTTCTGTGCTAAATTAATGGAATCAGATTTTTAGATAAGTATAATTTTCTCTCCAGCAGACCAAGTTGTTAAATCTGAATTTTAAGGCCTACGATCAAAAGAAGCTTGACAAATATACTAAGAAGAGGTTTTGGGTATTTAAGAATAAATGTCTTAATAATTTTAAACCAAAAAAAATTGTATTATTTTTGTATTTTTTTTTTCTTAAGAGAATGGCACTACAATCAAACTTTTAAATAGGAAGTTTAGTTACAGGGGAGTTGTTGAGTAATAATGCATGTAACACTATCCAACTTAATTTTTTGTGGATGTGGGGTGTATATCTTCAGTTTTTCTTTTGTTTTATTTTGAAAGTGCAATGAAAACTGAAAGTAATTTCTATTTTATACGTCTCAGTTCAACTGAGAGTTTTATGAAATGGTTAAGGATGTGAAGAGCAGGAATTCAGTGACAATAAGATAAAATATGTGTTGCACTGATTGTCTATAAAGTTGTCATCCTTTCTTTCATAGACAAGTAGTAGTATTTAAAATTGGTTGTTTATAAAGGATTATAAAATGCTGACTGTATTATAGAGTAATCTTTAAAATACCCAACAAAGGCTAAAAGACTAAAAAGAAATTAATGAAGTAATATAGGCTAGGATGTTACTTCCCTGGTTTGCATTGTTGAAGTATAACTTCGGACATCATTACAGATTACCTTTGACCTAAGGAAACTACCGTCAAAGCTGTGACTGTGGACAGAATAGGAAATGTCCTTGCTACAGTGATTCTTGAGTTCTAGATATACTGTGCCATAAGCCAAGGCTGCATTTACAAATCTTTCAAGTTTGAGAAATAGCCATATACTTTAACTTTATATTTCAAATAGAAGTTTCATAATGGTTCTTCAAAAGGCAAATGGAGACGCCACCTTTGATTCTCCTAGGCAGACACAAATGCTGGTTCCCATTTGTCTTTTTCATCTTTTTTGTTTATGATGGAACCTGTTGTCAAGTAAGTGGTTCAAAAGCTTTGACAGTGAGGATAGTTGACCTATTCCCACCCAGGGAACTTGAAAAGTCTTTAAAAGCAGAATAATTGAGAAACATATTGTTTGGAGAGAAAAAATATCCTTGGCTCCCTGAAAGAAGCTTGCGACGTTAGTATGGCATTGTTTGTAAGATGTAGATGATTAATTTGTATCGTGTGTGTGTGTGTGTGTGTGTGTGTGTGTGTGTGTGTACACACACACATATACGTTTATATTTATCAAGTAGTTTTAAAAGTACAATCTGATAAAATGTTCTAAATTCTAAAAAACAAACAAAAACAAAAAAGCAATGTGCTTTACAGGCAAAAGACACTCATGTACATACATATACAAATATACAAAGCCTCACAGTTTCAATGAATCATTAATAAGACTAACATAACTCATTTATTGAGTTCTTACTGTGCCAGCTCTGTCGTGAACACTTTGTGATAATTATCTCCTACTACCCACTACAACTTTGTAAAACAAGCTATATTTCTGTTCCTGTTTTATCATCCTTTTATAATTCTGACAAAATTCTAAGGTTTAAAACGGTTAAACAAATTACTCAAGGTCATAGCCATTAAGAGTAATAACCTTGGTTAAATAAAACATTAGTCTGAAAGGGAACAAATAATACATGAACAAACTAAATTGCTGATTGTTGACTGATTTTAGAAGAGTTGCAGAGGGTTTGGCTTTCTCATACACACTTATTATAGGTGACCTAAAATACCAAGGACTGAAAGAAGTAAATGACTACAGAACAAACAAGATGCTGATTAATACATCATCCTTTCCATCCTAAATAAAGATTTCCATTTATCTCACTCATATAATTATAATTCAAAAGCTCAAAAAATAACCCTGTAGAAAATATCAATTAGTAGTTTGCTGTGAATAAATGTTGACTTGGTCTCTGATTAATGTTCTGGAAATAGAGTTGGTTCCAGTGCAGTGGTCTTTCCCAGTTGCTGAATTTCAAGGAGCACAATTTAACATTCTACAAAAACAGACATATCATCAGGAAATTGGATGATAGTCACTACTCTGAATGATCATTGTCATCCTATTTGTGTTTCTATTTCTCACCAGAGTTTTAGTTAAATTCTTAAACAGTCTCATGTTTGAAAGTTTTGTCTTTCCTGATTTAACAGGAAGCCCTGTTCGGGGGGCAAAATTTGCAAAGCAATTACCATAGAGAGATCACATTATTTCAGTCTTTGTCAGGAACCATCTCTATCCTTGTAGAATATATGTGTTCTCATTCCACTATATTGCTCTGTGCCAGCAAGACCTTTGATGCTGCTCTTGATCCAGTCAACATTATACTTTTAAGTATCATACAGCATATTGCCAAAAAATAATTCTGCAGTATATACTCGACTAAACTGAGACACATGTCAAGTTAATATCAAAGCTACACTGGCAAAGCACTAGAATTTTAGAATAGTCTGCATTTCTTCATCCTCATCATTAGTTAAGCAGTCATATTTTTGATCTTCTAATTCTTTTGGGGGGAGTTGTGATATATACTTCAAAATCCCCTGAGTGCTATTAGAATATTTCTCTCTTGACCTAGAAAGGGGGAACTATA